TGTTGTAGCAAAGTCCTGATTCTGGTACTTTGTTTCCCAGCTGAAAAGATGAAAAAGTCTCCTGGAGACATTGTATATTGTGGACAGGTCTTTGAAAAGTCCCTTCTTGGGGTGAAAAACTTTGGCATCTGGCTGCACTACAATTCCAGGAGTGGAACCCACAACATGTACAGGGAGTACAGGGACCTGATCACTGCTAGTGCTATCACTCAGTCCTATCTAGATATGGGAGCCCGTCACAGTGCCTGGGCCCACTCTACCCAGATCATGAAAGTGGAAGAAATTCCTGCCAGCAAGTGCTACCTGGACTGCAGTCAAGCAGTTTCATGACTCCAAAATCAAGTTCCCTCTGTCCCAGAGAGTTCTGCATGGCCAGCACAAACCATGCTTTACTACCAAGAGGCCCAATACATTCTTCTAAGTGCAGAGAGAAGGAGGTACCTGCTTTATTTGATCTGTTTAAATAAATTTCTCAATTGGAAACCCTCCTCCAAAAAAAAAGATTCTTATATCAGGTATAGGGTTTAAAGATTAGAAACAGCAAGTGGTTATATAAAAAACTGAAATTCTCTAAAAACTCAGGTGAATTATGGTTTCTAATTTGATGTCCTTCTCATAGCTCTGTGGTTAATAAGATCAGAACCATAAGACTTGAGCTGGTTTTCACCATATGAACTAGTTATTGGAAAATCAAGTTTAAGAGATTGTACTAAATTGTATTACGGTGGTCATATATATTGTATATTGTAGTCTCGTTTGTTGTTCGGTCATTCAGTTGTGTCCAACTCTTCATGACCCTGTGAACCACACTCTTTCCATGGGATTTTCTTGGCAAAGATACTAGAGTGGCTTGCCATTTCCTTCTCCAGTGGATTAAAGCAAACAGAAGCTAAGTGACTTGTGAAGTGTCTGAGGCTGCAGTTCAACTCAGGTCTTCATAACTGTAGGCCTAGTTTGAGCCACCTAGTTGTCTTTTCCAGTCTTGTTACTGACAGATTTTAGCAGAATTAGCTAGGAATCTCTACAAGGGATTTAGAACAAGAGAAGCAGAGCCTTCTTCAGAACTGTTCTGAAAATGAGGCCTACTCCAGAATGTCCAGAAGACATTTCCAGGGATCAGATGACTACATGGGAAAACTGGGACTTAAGACAATATATGATGCTTAAATGGACATTGGAAGTGGATTACTAGGATACAAGAAAAGGGTATTATTTAATATTGACAATCATTATTGTATTACTTTGGCCTTTTATTTCATGGTGTTTAGATCTGCTGAAGTCATGTCAATGATGCAAATCTCTCCTTTCAAAAATTAGTCCATCGTGAGCCCTCTTTGTAGTCTGATCTGTAGCCTGACTTATATAATTCTGATTATGTATATATGGAAAACTTTATAGATTTGGCTTATAGATAAATGATTCATAGGGGAGGGTGCCAGCCCCCTCCCCCAGGAATCAGAGGAGGAGAATTGTGGGAATTGAGTGAACCAAACTGACTCCATCTTGTGACACAATTCTGGATCTACCTTAGCTTCCTTTCTATTCAATTATGGATCTAGTCCAATTTCTGTCTTGTGAGAAAATTTTATTCAATTATGAGAATGGTGAGAAAACATTACTTCATTGTTTGAAATTAGCTCTGCATGGTTAGGAAGCTGGACTACCCCTGCCTGTGGCTGGCTTAGAGACCTTTAACTAAGGACCTAGGTCATGCTGATCAGAAACCAAGTCAGATCCAAGGATTGATCAAGGAGTTTTCTCACAATTCTTCATCTTAAGCAACCCACGTGTCTTAACTGAAAACTGGCCTGTACTGGGCAATCAGTTACTGTTCTCTGGTTCCTTTGATTGAATACAGACACTTGGGGGGGAGTGGGACACCTCTTTTTTCTCTGATTTCAGGGAATTGCACCTGTTCATTCTACCCCTCCCAACTCAGAAGCCTTTGATCTTTCCTTCAGTTAGAAATCAGATTATCTAATCTTGTATCCTGGCTTGTATCCTGTTGTTTTCTTTTAATGCATAAAGATGTCTCCCCCTGTATTCGGGGTCCAGTGCCAAGCTGAGGAGGCCTGGTTCCATGGAGGCATGTATTGCTCAATAAATCAATATGCTTGAAACCTTGAACTTTTGTTTCCTCTGTTATTTCAGATTTCACCCATCACAATATGGAGGTGGCCAAATTTCCATGAACTTGTGAATGATGCATGCTCATCTTCAGTAGTTCAGTGTAACTTCTGCATGTCACTTCCAAGTGGATGACTCCTGAATTTCTTTTTTTTTCTTTTTTAGGCAGTTGGAGTTAAGTGACTTGCCTGTGGTCACACAGCTAGTAAGTGTCAGGTGTTTGGTCTGAGGCTGGATTTGAACTCAGGTCCTCCTGACTTCAGGGCCGGTGCTGTATCCACTGTGCCACCTGGCTGCCCCTGAATCTCTTTTTCTTGAAGGTTTTTTTTTGTTGTTATTTTTTATTGTGTTGTTTTGTTGCAATAGGGGTTAAGTGACTTGCCCAGGGTCACACAGCTAGTAAGCTGAATTTCTTTTTCTAGTTCTTATCTTTCATCTACAGTCCTATAATCAATAGTTGTCTAATAGATGTTCTGCTCTCTCTACTCAAATTCAGTCTTTTCTGATAACTGGCTTTGCTACTTATCAGCTGTGTGGCCTTGGCAAGGTAATGTCTCTCAAAGTCTCAGTTTCTTCTTCTATAGAATTAGGGGGTTGGCTCAGACCTTAAGGTTCATTACAGCTGTAAATTCTATGTCCCCAATTAAACTCATTATCTCCCACCCAGACAAGTTATCCCATTCAGCTTCCTGATTTCTTGTCAATGAGTCACTGTTGTGTCACCCAGATTTAAAACCTTGGAGTCATCATTGGACTCCTTCCTTTTTCTGTCATTCAAAAGTCCCCATAATCTTGCTGTACCCTTCCTCTCTCATATCTAATCTTGAATTCCATCCAGTCAACCTGATCTCACTGTCCCAGAGGACACACCAAACTCATTCTTATCTATTGCTTCCCCTGCCACATACTAGTACTATCTTCTGTGTGGTCCAGAGGAAAGAGGACTGGAATTAGAACAAAGCCCAAGGTTCCTCATGTATAAAATGTGGAGGTTGGACTAGAGTCTCTTTTAGCTGCATGATGAACAAACTGAGGCCCAAAGAGGACCAGTGAAGTGAAGTAATTTTTTTTCCCCCTTTGCCCTAAAAGTCTACTGCTCTTAAAAGAGAAAGACAGACTCTGAGGGGGAGAGAGTGGTTTCCAGATAACTTCCACACAGGGGGGTTGGGGAAGCAGACTTGAGCACTTAATCAGATGGTCAGGGAATAACTGACAGCTCAGCTTGCTGGTCTGGTAGTAAAGGGCATATTTCACTTCCTCTATGATAACTTTTTTTTCCTAGCCACCATAGCCTATCTTAATGTCTCTCTCTCTTTCTCTTTTTTTTTTAACTCCGATAGTACGTAGAGTACTTGATTATATGCTGCCTTGCATTATCTCCTTCTTGTTATTTCATATTAACTATTATCTTTCCTGCCAGGTGTGTAAGTTCTTTTGGGTCAAGGAGTCCCACTCCTGCATCTAACTATACAGCCAGAAATGAAGTAGGCATTTAACAAATCCTGCTTTATTTTTTTATTGGCCTGTCCTACTGAAAAGTGACAGCTAATTCACTGATTCATTTAATTTATTTTGTACCTACTATATTGGAAGCTAATATTTTGCATAGTGAAATTACAAGATTCCCCACTGCTCTGGATAGGTTACAACCTATCTTAGGAAGATAGGACAAGCTAGACATTTTTCAGGAGTTGAGACAGATTATGGATGTTATAAATCATTGTCAAGCCTAGAAGCAAGGCAGTCCTCTGCAAAATTTCATGGATATTATAGATATCAGCACTTATAATGAAAACTGTTCCTCTGATAGTGTTTTCTAGTTAAATAGCTTAATTTACACATTAGTCTCGTAAAAGTATTTTACCTTGGGTTTGATGGAGGGAAACATCTTTAAGGCCCAAGTCCTCTTTGCTCCTAAATGCCTTCTTTTCTCCCACACCCATTTTCTTCCCTTTTTGTTAAATGCCCATTATTCCTTACATCTAAATAGTAACCACATTCTGCTGCTGTCTTCCTTTGAAATGTCCCTTGCATCCATTTCTCTCATTCTAATAATCCCATTGCACGGATAAATCGAGTCCCTCTGTTCGTCCTCTCCAGCTTTTCTAAATCAGGTTAAAATTAGCTTCAAGGGCCGCTTTGAAAGTGAAAAGAAACTATAAAAGAACGCAGCATGAAGAAGAGAGTTTTTGGGTGACAGGCGGGGTGCACTTTTAGGCTTCTGTGATTTGCAGGACAAGGAAACCCTACACAGAACGGGCTAGCTCAGGAGTGGGGAAACTGCGGCCTCGAGGCTGCACGGGGCCCTCTAGGTCCTCAAGTGCGGCCCTTTGACGGAATCCAAACTTCACGGGTTCCCCAGCCGTGGGCAGCTGTAAAGGGCCATACGGTCCAGCGGTTCTCGTAGCGTGGTTCCTGCGGGTCCCATAGATCCTATTTTCATAACAATACAAAGACGTCTTAATTTCGAATACGGTAAATATCATAAATAAATAATTCACATAAACAAAAGCTCTATTTTTTTGGGGGGGATATCCCCAGTAATTTTTAAGAGCGTAAAGAGGTTTTAAGATTAAAAAAAAAGTTGAAGAACCACTGATCTAGATTCTAGGATAACTCCCTCCTTTTACAGATGAGGGAACTGAGGCCGGGGACTTGAAAAGGGCTTTGTCAAGGTTACATAGCAGGTGAGCCAGGAGGGAGGACCGAGCTCGTTCACCGTGCCCACGCAGCGGGGGGCCAACTCTTCCCCAGGAACCGCGGCAAAGGGCGGAGGAACGGGGCGGGGCTCCTGCGCTTAGATCTGTGCGGCGACCCTCCGCGCTTGCGCAAGAACTCCGCCACGCTCTCCCACTCCTGCGTGGCTAAGGAAGAGAACGCCCCGGCTGGCCAGCCCCTCACCTTCTTCCTCCCCTCCCCATGACGCCATCCTTCCCCTCCTCCCTTCGGTACGGGGAGCCGGGACGCTCCGAACCCACACCCCCCACTCCGCCTTGCGTCACAGAGAGGCTTGTGACGGCCCCGCCCGCCAGAAGTATCGCGCGCGGAGGTCGGTGCTGCGCGTGACGCGGCACTGGGGAGGAGGAAAAGAGGGCGAGCGCGAGCGCGGGGGAGCGCGAGCGCGAGAGCGAGCTCGCTGGGGAAGGCTGGAGAGGAGGCGGAATCGAGGAGCTGAGGAGTGGGTCCGGTCCGGTCCTGGCTGGTCCGCAAACATGTCCGTTTGACACTGTCCAGGTGAGACTGACGCGCCGAAGGGACCGGAAGGGCCCGGGCTGGGCCGGGGTGTTTGGGTCCCGGCTAAATTCCATTTCAGCCGGCCTGCGGCCTCGGGACTTCGGGCGGGGCCGGGCCGGGCCGGGCTGCGCTGAGCTCCCTTGGGCCGCCGGCCCATCGAGCTCACCTGCAGGGGCCGCGCCCGGGCCGGCTTGGCGCTGTCAGTCAGTCAGCCCTGCGCCCGCGCTGCGGGAGTGGCCGCGCCCACCCCGTGCTCCGCACCCCGCTCGGGAGATGGCGGCCCGGGCGGGGAAGACGGTGCGGGAGGGCCGCGCGCCGGGGACTATCCGGGACGTGGCACGGCGGGCACCGGGGCTCCGGCTGGACTTAGAGGGTGGGGACGCGGATGTGGCTATGCCACCCCTCGCCCGTGCTCGCCCTTCCTTAGGGGGAGGCCTTGGGGTCCGTTAAATGTCACCCAGCTGTTTTCAGGTTGCTTCTGGAGGGTGACAAATGAAGCATTGACATAGCACCCGTATTTTTTTCCTAGAGTTAGAAGGGACCTCAGGCTGTCTAAGTCCAGTTTTTACAGATGAGAAAACTAAGGTCCAGGGAGGTTAAGTGATTTGCCCAAGGAGACACAGGTAGTATCAGAGGTAGAATTTGGCCTAGGTCCTTTGACTCCAGGGCTAGTGCTCTTCCCACTGTGCTAAGCTGCAGGTTACTTATTCTTTTTCCCAAGTATGTAATTGAATGATGATACTATTTTGCAATTCAGTGACTCTTCCAAAGCACTTTGACATGTATTCTGTTTATACCTTTAAGTCCCAGCAAAAATCCCACCACGGACAGGAAGCCTTCCCCCAGTCCCCCTTAATTCTGTTGCCTTCCCTGTATTATTTCCTGTTTATCCTGTTTGTAGTTTGCTTTGTATGTATTTGTTTGCATGTTGTCTCCCCCATTATATTGTAAACTCCTTGAGGGCAGGGCTCCTCTTTTCCCTCTTTTTGTATCCTCAGTGCTTAACACTGTGCCTGGCACGTAGTAGGCACTTAATAAATATTTATTGAATTGAATTGAATTCGAACCTGAAAGTGGAGCTGGGACTCCATCCTTGGTTGCCATACCTTTCTCACTAGATTGAATGATCAGCTGCTTCAGTTAGAGTCAGTCTGATTAGCTTTCTTCCATTCTAATTTCTGACTTAAACTCTGGGGGAAAATTGAAGTCAAATTAGGGAACTTTCAAAAATAAATAACAACTTAGAATATTTTTGTTTTAACAAGAAGGTTTAAAAGAATATATGACAGACATGTTGGCTGCTAGAGTGTAGTTAGTGACAACTATAGTTACAGTAGCATAAAGCTTTTCTAAATATTGTACTCAGATACAAAAATAAATTTAGGCTAGGATGAGGTGATTTGATAAGCTGACTGTTGCAAGAGATGTCTACTGATTCAACTTCTTAGTCAGTAGCTATAACGGTATGCCATGTGCAATATGATAGTGCTTGGGTCAGATTTGTGGTAATACATCCAGTCCAGTATTCGGTCTCTGATCATGGTGTTCAGGGATCCAACCTTGAGCCTTAGGCTTAACTGATCCAGACTTTTTATTGAACCTTAGGGCATTTACTTTTTACCACATTCTAAATCTTCCAGGTCACGAACCCTCACTAAAGGCACTGTGCCACTTTTTTGTACCTTCCTGGGTCACTGAAGCAAAGGTTGGTCATTTGGGTTCATAGATCTGCTGCAGCTGATCCCTTATTTGTCGTTATTAAGGTGTTGCCACCAAGAACCAATTGTTCTCTCTTTTACATCAGCTTCTTTTTCTCTTTTTATCCTGTTTCCACTTGATCATGTGACTTTTTTTAAGGATTTGTTTACAAGGGAAAAGAGAACATGGGAATTCACAAATGATTCCAGGACAAGGTAATTAGAAATATATTAATTTCAGACTGAGTGACACCTAAACTTTTTAACCTAAGCCTTAAATAAAATCCTCCCAGCCATTTGGCCAGTAACCCTCTTCTGGCCTGGTAATGTCACGCTGCCGTGGCTGGCTCTCTCATGGCTGCATAAAAGAGTATTATCTTTGCTACTAGAATGCTCCCAAGATGATTTTGAGGTTCCTCACTTGGGTGTGCTGGATCAAGCTCTTTTGCCCATTATATATTCCCTGGATCTCTCTCAGCCAATACGAGAGTGACTTGATGGCATGACTTTTGGTCCTTCCTCCCACTTCCTATCTAATCACTTTCTATCTCCTCCCCCTCCAGATAAATACAAACAGACAAATACTGTAGTGTTTGCATCACCTCAAAAATCAGAATGATTCAACCCAACAAATAAGTTACTCCAAAATATACAAAAGACAACTCCTTTCCTTAAATTGTGGTACCAGAGAATAGTTTATGGGAGGAAATGTTTGATTTCCCTTATGCCAACCCCAAAAGTTTGGAGAGACCATTCTTCCCTAATCCTTGTGTCCTTTGGCAACACTTTAGTATCTGTCAGTACCCGTGCTCTTTTTTCTATTATCTTTTGAGAATCCAAAATCAAAGAATATTGGAACTGGAAGTGAACTTAGAGATCATCTAGTCCAAATTCCCCACCCCCTTATTTTACTGTTAGCCTTTTTGGCTGCAGTAGCACACTGGAACTTCAGGAAGCACTCTACAATGACTCTTAGATACCTTTCTTGGATTACAGTTGATAGTTTGGAAACCACCGTCTTAATAAATGGAATTTGCATTATTTTCCTTGCTTTCCCTGCTGTGAAACTCATTTTCCATTTTTCTGCCTATTCTGACAACATCCAAAGATCTATTGCTTCCTTGAAAAGTTTAATTTTAGCTGCATATTAGTAAAAATTTCAGATAAGATCTATCTAAGCACTGATACCCTGGGGGAATTTCAGTTCTCCGTGTGGGAAAGTTGTGCATTTATCCCAAACTGATATTTCCTGACATTAATTTTGACAACCTCACTTTCCACCTTTCCTTCCATCATAGGATCTTAGGTTTAGAGCTGGAAAAAAGGACCCTTAGAGGTGCTTGAGGCCAACACCACTCATTTTACAGATGAAGAAATGAGCCCAGAGAGGTTAAGTGAATTGTCCTACTAGGTCATGCAACTAATAAATGTTTGGAGTGGGATTTGAACCTAGGTCTTCCTTATTCTATCTGTCTAGCATTCTGTCCACTGCACCTTGGTGACTTAAAAAATGGTCTCTATTTTGTGTAACTTTTATTAATTAAATAAGTTATATTGCTTTCTTTTTCCTTGTCTTCATGCTTTTTTTTCTTTTATCCCTTTAAAAAAACTTCATTAATCAAGCTTTGATTTCTTTTACAAAAAAAGGTTACTTTTAATAAGTTGTTTGCTTGAGTGTTTTGATCTTATGTTTTCTTGGAGATCTCTGTTATATTTCATTTTGCTCAGCATGAGTCTATTGTTCCCATAGGGTCCTTTTGAAGCATTTTTTATGGATGGGAGTTTAAAGCATAACTTTCTCCACTTTTGCATTCCTAACTTCTTGAAGAATTGTAAGCAAACTTTTCATCTCCTGAGGATCCTAGGTCTTGCCTGCCTGCTTCTCTGTACAGCCACTATCCACTTTAAAAAAAATTGAATTCTGTTTTTCTGTAAACTGGTGGTGTCATTTCAGTAATGTTCCTAGGAATGAGCTATATTTATTAAGGAAGAAGTCAGTTTGAGATTGGCATTAGTGCTTGGCTTGTAGGTAAATGTCTGAGTTGAGTGTGTGTGTGTGTAAGTTTGTTGATGATTTTTGGCATTATTGTCGGTTTTCAATACTCCCACTTCACATAGAGCCCTTTCTTCCAACAAAGAGAAAGAGTTAAGCAAAACAAATGGACACATGGACCATGTCTGAGAGAATGTGTAGCATTCTCTGTGTTTCTAGACTGGAAGGAGATTTATTATTTCTTCTCTAGGACCAAGATTGGTTATTAATCAATTTAGCTGCTTTTTTTTTTTTGGTGAGGCAATTGGAGTTAAGTGACTTGCCCAGAGTCACATGGTTAGTGAGTGTTATGTGAGTGAGGCTGGATTTGAACTCAGGACCTCCTGACTCTGGGGCTGGTGCTCTGTGCACTGCACCACCTAGCTGCCCCCAATTTAGCTGCTTTTTTAGTGTTTCATTTGTATTTTTGTAGTCATTGCTTATATTTTTCTCTTCATTCTATTTTCTTTATTCTGTATCAGATAATCTCCCAAGTTTCTCTGAATTCTTCATATTTGTACATCTGTAAGTATCTTACAGCATATGTACACAAAGTATTTCTGGATAACAGTAGAGGGTAAGGAAAGCTTGGAAAGGCCTCTTGCAGAGAGTAGGATTTGAAGGAAATCAGAGATTTCAAGAGTTTGAGGTGAAAGCAAAGAGCTTTCCAGGCATGATGGGACAGCCAGTGAAAAGGCAGACAGGAGATGGAACATCATATATGAGGAACATATAAATAGTCTAGTATGTTTGGACCATAGAGTGTGGAGAGAGTTAATATCTAAGTAGACTGGAAGGGTAGGAAAGAGCTATCTTACAAAAAGCTTCAGATGCCAAACTGAAGTGTTTTTATTTAATCCTAGAGGTAATAGGGGATCTCTGGAATTTTTATGTGTGAGGGTAACATGGTCACATCTCTACTTCAGAAATCACCTTGTTGATTGAAGTGGGAGAGGCCTGAGGTAGAGGAACCAAATAGGAGGTTGTTGGACCTCTCTCCCTCCTCATCTCTGCCTCTTCACTTTCCTGTCTTCCTTCAAGTATCAGCTCAAGTCGTTCATCCTGCAAGAGGTCCTTCACAGTCGTCCTTAATCTTAGAGCCTTCCCTCCAAGATAATCTCCAGTTTATACTGTATATTTCTATATCTGTTGTCCATAGTTGTTTGCATTTTGTCTCACATTAGACTTTGAGTACTTTTTTGGGGGGGGGCGGTTTCCAATTGAGAAATTTATTTAAATAGATCAAATAAAACAGGTGCCTCCTTGTGTCT